TACCCACACCCGCTGATTGGATAGTCAGATATCCAATCAGGGCAAAGCTAGCAAACAAACCGAAATATAGTTGTTTTGGTGTAATAGCTATTTTATTATTTCGTGGCGGATTTACTGTCAAGACCATTTTCAAAACGGACTTTTCAAGAAAAGTAAGTGAGTAAAATGTAGTTTTTTTCCTAAATGGTATTGCGAGTTTATGAGGATATTACTGATGTTTTTATTTTATTTTTTTTTTGGAGGGGGGGTGGGGGGGGGGGTCGCAGGAGTAGAAGACTTGTGCACCCCTGATCTTTAGACTGTATTTTAGGATTGTCCTGATCCGATATTTGGATCGTATCGGCCGGCATGAGAAAATGCCAATCGAGACTCCAGATAAAAATTTTTTTTAAAAGTCCGATCCCACCCGAGCACAGAGTCTGTGTAAACTTTAGTTGTTATAAGAGTAAATCCCTGTTCAACATGAGTCTGACAACTAAGTAAGTAGAAAAAAAAATTCAACTTTAATACAAAAAGCTGGATCGGGACATCCCTACTGTATTTCTACATAATAAGATGATTTCTATAACCATAAAATAGTTATTGAGGGGTGAATTGATTCAGACGGAGCACTACTGAAGGCCTAGGTGTGAAATGCACGGTCCGCCACTGGTGTAAATATATTTCCACTTGGACAGACACATTAAAACTAATACAGTGGATACCCCTAAAATCGCAAACATGAAAGCATCATGGCGGTAAAAATGAAGTTCTATTTGAATTCTGTTCAGTTTGCCTAACAATAATTTATTTTCTATTTCAATGCGTTTGTTTTTTACCCCATCAAATGCTACTTTGGAATACCGGTACATTAATGAGATCATTAATTCTTAGCATTAAGCTGGTTTAAAAGGGATGTTGTCACAAGTGAGATCACAATCATTTTAGAACTTAACACAGAGGTACTTCAACAGAGAAGATTCAGCCAAGCAGGAAGAACCACAAAACTTCAGGCTAGCTGACTTTTCATCCGTATCAGAAACCTAATGCATGCTAAGCCTTGCTTGCGATCCAGGAAAGAAATCCACCAGCCAAGGTTGAGTTGGAGGCAAGCAAGGAAAAAGAGAAAATACATAGGATTATGAAGATAACTAATAGGAGTATAGTTCAGTGTTATCGCCCTCATAAAAAGTAATTTGAAGTATTTGTTAATAGGCCAATAGATATTGTTTTAGCTTAATAGTAGGTATGAACAAATTGCCTGACTTGTAATTCTAGCCACCAAACCTTGTTTAGTCAGCGCATTGCTAATGCTAGTGTTTGGTATCAGAATTGAGTAATGTATGTCTTTCTGTCTTAGGCTGGAATGATCCTTGATAATGGAGTAAAGACCACTCAGGCAAACAACAAGGACAAAAGACCCTTCTTGTCTCTTATTGGAGCCAGGTGAAATACGTTCTTCAATTAAGTGTACCATGTTGATGTACTGATATGAAAAAATGTTCATAATCCAAAAAAGTTAACCAAATTTATTTCAGTTTGTGTTGGTTTAAGGCTCATCTGGTCATTGGAAAAAATGAATGAAATTTTGATCTCCATAGTACAAGTGATAATAAGATATACATAATTTAATCTACATTATAAGTAAAATATAAGTAGAGGCAGATGAGTTCATTAAAACAACACAATTAATTCCTGTAATTTATTCATCATTTGCACATCCCTTGTTATTACAGTCATATTAAGAATATAAAGAACACGTCATCTTTAATGATTTGTCTGGACATTATGCAAAGAAAATATAAAACAAGTTGAGACTATCTAAAACAGAATGCATTCATAAGTAAATATCATAAAGCAACATTTTATTATAATAGAATGTTGGAGACATTTTATTAGATTATGAAAAATTTGTACTCTGCAATATGCTACCGTACATATTGGGAAAGCTCGATATTTCACCCTCTACATTTCCCATCTTCATCTGATAGTAGTCCGTTAACATTTTGATTTGATGAGACCACCTGCTGAACTTTTGGGAAAGGACTGTTGTGCCATACCTGTCTGATACAGGTTTCTGTTCATGCGTTTATTGCACATCTCAATTGAAAGCGACGGATAAAACATTACAGTTACCATCAACCTAACAATAAGCTACATTAAAGACAATAACTCAGTCTGGTCAGGGTTAGTTAGAAGCAACAGTGGTGACAGTGTAGAGATAGAGGGAAGAACAGAAAAAGTAGAAGAGGGGGTAGGGTAAAAGTTAGGATACAAGATTCTCTCTGACATGCTCCCTGAGGAGCTGGGTCTTCAGGTCTCTATTTGCCTAACAGTCCTGTTTTTTTTTTTGTTGGATTTGAAATGTCTTCAGGTGGTGAAACATCTGGACATATATAGTCCTCTTTAGACTGGAGTTCCGAAAAGAACTTCCAGTTCTGATCCATTCGATCACAGAACAGTGATCAGCACTGGCGTGCTGAATTTATCTGTGTACATATGATGGAATGATGGAATATTTGAAATGTTGTTAATTTTACATTTGACATTTTTGGGAATTAATAGACAGTGGATGCTGTTTTCTTTTTTTATTCTTTTTACTTTTTTATCGCATATTCTCAAACCTGACAGCATTACTTTTTAAGAAAATCTTCTTCTTGAAGGTGCTTTTTGTGTACGCAGTCATGTTACTGACCCATTGTTAATTAACTTATTTGCAACATTCTCTTGTTTTAATGAGACTTATTTTTTCAGTTTTTGTTACCAACTGTTGCAAATATGTTGCTGCTATCAAATTCAAGATAAGGTCATATTTTCATGGAACATTAGAATGTCTCCCTTGCGCTCTGTTTTCTATAGCATCCAGGCTATTTTAGACCTGGCATTGTTAAAATATGACCTGGTCCTCAAAATTAGGAAAATTTAACTTCAGATGGACAGCAACACTCTGTCAGTATTTACTGATCAAACACAGAAGCAGTTTGTGAAAAAGAAACAATTCTAAGATTTTTAATATGTTACAATAAATAAATAATTGAGCTGAAAGTATTATTGCCTTGTTTTATATAACTGTCGTACACAATCTAACTCTACTCTGTTTGACAGATATGGCCCACACCAGGATGCAAACCCCTTCAAACCTAGAGTTCCAGCTCTTATTCATCACTTTATAGCCTACAAAAACCAGGACCATGGAGCCTGGTTGAGAGGAGGAGATGTCTGGTTGGATGACTGCCAGTGAGTACTACATCTGAATGAATCCAAAACTGAGCAATGTGTTGATCCCCCTTTCAGTCCCAGTGTGTCTATCAGAATTGTTTATGTATACTGCAGTGAACTAAGCAGAAGAATGTGTATGTGAGACCTCGATCAGCTTATACAGCCAAAATGTAAAAGTTGTCTTGATATAACATGTTTCCATAGCACGGATTGTTTACATAAGATTAAGTTTTAAGTTAGGGTTTAGAGTAGGTGAGTGATAATTAAGGGAACTTCAAAAGAAGATATCAACCCAGTCCCATGTCCTCTGGAGCCATTGGGCACTGCCAGGCTTTTATTTTTACATTGTGCATTTCAATCTTTTGTAGATTTGCTGATAATGGCATTGGCCTCACACTTGCAAGGTAAGACTTTCAATTAAAATCAATTCAGCAAAAATTAATTCCTGAAGGTAAATTACATAAAGGATCCTGTGTTTTTCTTATTGCAGCAGGATGGTACATATCAAGTTCAACTTTGGGGCTCTAGAGCTGTAGTTTTCTGTCAAGTAGCCAAATTGAAAAGTCCTTTTGGGAATTGTCGAAATGATCCTCTTAGAAAAATGCTAACTGGAGCTACTTTAAACATACATTTAGATGCAGTCAAAAAAAGTAATTTGACAAAGTATTGAATAGAACTTATGTTCAATACACTTGGTCAGTACTTTTTATTCTTGTAATGTGTCATTTTTGTAGTGATGCTTTGGAAAAGTTAAAAAACCCTCAACAATCCTTTTCGCACCAATTAAGAGATCAATATAAAATGATAAATCATTATTAAAGCAGTATTAAAAGCCTCATGGATGCTGGAAGAAAGGACTTTCTGAACTTTGTAGTCCTGCAAGCACATTCAAATTAGGTTCTAGTGACAGCTGCTCTTCTGTTCTGCAAGGATGCTGTGAAGGGGATGATTTGGTCCCCAAAACCAAAATTTACTTCCTCCTCAGGGCTGGACCCTCTCTAATTCTAAGAGGGTCTAGCCCTCTTCCTGTTGCAGATTTGGCCTTTTCCCCGCTTTGTCCAGGCGCCTACTGTTTTGCCAGTACTGCACACTCAGTGACTTTGAAATTGAACATGCACAGCATGTCACTGCATGCAAGACCTCAACCATCAGATGTGGTTCTGGCCCTTTCTTCACACTGCAAAAGACTGATGCTGATCACTCTGGCTCTAATGCTGCTACCACCACATGTACATTGTGGTAGCAGCATCAGAGCCAACAACACTAGCAGACTTGATAATCTTGTGGTCAATTAAGTCACAGTACAGCTTCCTCAGAATCTGATGGGTTTTTTTTTCTTCTCCAGTCCTTGACAATGCTAACCCTTCATCTCTTGCGTACACGACTTTACTGGTAGCAATTCACATCCAAAAAAAAAACTAGAAGACATCAAGCAGATTATTTAAAACATGTTCATTATAAAACTACAAATCAAATTTTTAAAAACTTTAAAAACACATACCGACTAATAATGATTAAAATAAATAACTTAATGAGCACTTAATGAGCATCATTGTGTGATCGAAATCACAAACTTTTTGCCCCAACACCTCTTTGGGGAAAGCCTGTTGTGCTACTACCATGACCACCCCACTGAGGCCATCTTGGTTTTTTCAAAACAATGAGTCTATGCTACATAGTCATATGACAACATCATCTGGCCTGGCATGACAAACATTATTTCACTTTTTGCTCAGTCTGTCAACTCACAAAACCAAGTCAATAGAGTCGTGGACTCTTTTGGGCCTCAAAACCCGTGGGGAATACACTGGTGTGGATTTTGTGGGATTCTTGCCCTGCAATCAGTCAGGAAATGCTTAATTGCTTGTCTTTGTTCATTTGTTTATTTCTTAAAAGTGGATTGAGGTGTGTGCAGTTAGAGAGGTCAGAGCTGTGATCACAGCAAGCCACTCATCTCATTTCAGAGAGCCCCCCCTATGTTGTCAATTCAATTTCAGTTGTATTTATATAGCGCCAAATCACAACAGTTATCTCACAGCGCTTTCCAAAAAAAAGCAGGTCAGACTTTACTCTGAAGTTATTTACAGAAGCCCAACAATTCACACCAAAAGCAAGCACTAGGCAACACAGGCTAGGAAAAACTTCCTTTTAAGAAGCATAAACCTCAAGCATGGGATAGATGCCGTCTCTCCGATTCAGGCCAGGTCTTCTCGAGAAGGTCTGCAGGTGATCTACAAAGCCCACATCGTTTGCTGGGCACCACCTTGATAGCCATCAGCGGAATGATGACATGTGGCTGACATACATGTCACCACTAGTCAGGTTGGGCAGGGGACCAGAGAAAACTACAGGGTCCAACACTGTTTTTGCATATCTACATACCGACTCCACATTAATCTTAGTGACATCTGACTGACATAAACAGGAGTCATTAACAACTATGTCAATAAAAATCTTATTGTATCTACGCGTACCCTTAGCCAGCAGTTTCAAATAAGACTCAATTTCGCCCGCTCTGGCCCTAGGGTTACACTTAACTATGGTCGCTGGGTTCGTTAGCTTCACATTTTTCAGAATGGAGCTGCCTATGATCAGGGTTGTTGTGAGTCATCTCAGCCCATGTCAAATGCTACGGCATTTAATAAGGCTATCCATGCTCATCACCATGCCAGGCCATCACTGGTTCTAAGTAAAAAAAGACACTACTATGACTTGAGAAAAGGTCATTCTGTCTTTTGGATTAGTGATCTTGTTCGAGTCAAGCAACACACATGGTTGAATGCTCTGGCCAATTTTACAGCTAAATCGTCTCCCCTGTTCAGGCTCCTTCCGTGTCAGTCACGAACTGGGCGACATGAACTACAGATGCTGGAGTTTTCCATATTGTCAAAAAGCTGGCAAGTCCATAGTTGGGACTCTGCCATTTACACAAAGACTATTATGCAGCTGCTCAAGTGGATCGCACAAACAGTGAAGTTGACAACAGTACTTCTCAGAACTAAAGCTTCCAGAAACTAAAAAAAAGGAAAGGAAGCCTCCACACCGTTTTTACATTTGGATTTTAGAGCTTAAGTTATGGTTACCCACCAGTACTGGTGTGATTCAATACCTACCCCATATGTAAATGCGGTTTCACATCACTATCACATCACAATCACTATCGCAGTTAAGTCTACAAAGTGATCCACCATGCTGTGGTCTCCACAGTGTACTTCGTGTCCCTCACTCACCAGTACCGGTAGTTTTTACTTTGGTGTCACATTTCCACAGGGAGCTGTTCTGCTTCGGCCTGCTCTTTCTAAATTTAATTTCTTAAAAGGAATCTTAAATGGGGTCAAGGAACCAGTGTTTATATTACATTTTCTCATGTGTGTGCAGTGGAGGGACCTTTCCAGATGATGATGGGTCTTGTCAGCAGGTGAAAAACTCTTTGTTTGTTGGTGAAAGTGATAATCGTGGAACGCCTCTCCCAGACAACAGTAATTGGGGCCCAGGAGGTGGGGACCTCACTGGCAGGACTCTGCCACGTGCCATGTAAGTTGGAATCACCGGCTCACTCATCATTCTGTTTTCACAACCAACTGTCCACTGCCTTGTTTGGCAGAGATATAGAAGCCAAACAATGTCCCATTGAAATGTTTTAAGCTAATCTTTTATCAAGCAAGTTTGTTGTAAAAAAAAATTGGAATCTATTTTGATATTTTAAGAGCATATTTGATACAAACACAATAATACATAATCTATTTAGGTATTTAGTTTTTCCACAGCAGGGTGCAAATTGAAGATGGACAGTACGTTCCTTTCATTTTGTCAATACTGTCAGTATTTTTCAGTGCAGATCTAATCTGCTGCATCTTACTGCTTCAGGACCAGTACTGATGAAAAAGTGTTACTAAATAATGAGTGGGTCTGAATATGAATCTGTTTTATTGCAGTGATTTTCCAATCAGAGGTATGCAAATCTATGATGGGCCAATCAATGTGCAGAACTGTACATTCAGGAAATTCACAGCGTTGGATGGACGACACACCAGTGCTATTGGTTTCAGGCTCAACAATTCCTGGCAGAGTTGCCCAAATAATAATGTTACTGACATCAGCTTTGATCGTGTTCCAGTAAGTCACTATCTCTTTCTAATTGAAATTATATCAAAAACCACATTTGGTTACCACACTATCTACCCACGCTGTGATCCTTCAATACTTTTTTTTAAGGGAAACTAAATGCTTCTAAAACCTTTTTTTTTTTTTATGAATGAAAAAGTTTTATTTTGTTGCCTCTCAGGATTATTGGACAACTATCCACCTTGAAAACTGGAACCTGTCGAGCTAACATGATAAAATAATAAAACAAATATTTTTGTATAATATTGTGATAAATAAAAACAAAATCTTGTATCATTTTCTGTATGAAATTTTAAAACTGAGATCATATCTTTTTTATTTACTATACTTGAGTCATGGTTCCTTAGGGTTCTCTACTTGAAACAATTCTTTTCACGCACTAGCATGCTTTTATGAGGTAACATTATTAGAAAGCACCACCAGAACCTGCATAGTGAGGCAGAAAGGTTGTGTGTTACTTAAGGAGTGGACTGGTGTAAATATTTATTATTTGGCTGTCCCAAAAATTCTGTAAAAAACCTGTGTAGACTCCTTCATATTTGCATAGTCCTATTACTTATAGTCAGGTGTGACTTTTAAATGTTAATTCATACTGACTGGCATGAACGAAACCAAAAGGTTTGTGGCTCAAGAAGTGTGGTGGTTAGCACCATCACTTCACAGCAAGAAGATCCTTAGTTTAAATCCCTGGGGGATCCATGTGCTTGTTGTGAATGAATAACATGAACTAAGGAGTAAATGTCAACAGCTGCAAGAAGGCACTATAGGCTGGTGACAACTGTATATTTCTCCTGTACCCCTGAATTGAAGCCTTAATTCTTAATCCCGACCTCATAATGCAGAATGAGATCGGGGGCTAGGTGATCTTGCCTACCATTGAGTTGCTGGCTGGACTTGGTGGCCTTTTATTATAATTTAGCCTATTCTCCTCCAAAGTATGTTCTTTACAGTATGCTATTATCTTGCTGAATAACTGCTAATGTGTTGCGTTAACTTACTGGACACCTATTCAGCTGGTTGTTCTTTGTGCTATCGTGTAGTTGAATAACTTTCCCTTGTAGATTAATTGTCTGTTCTTGGATTTGGATTTTCTGCTGGGTATGATGCATTCCACGTGTAGAGCTCAAGCCCCTCGGTCTCCACGCTGGCCCAAACAGAGAGCTGAACAGCAGGGGAGGGATCTGTAGTCGGTGGGGGGGGGGGTTGTGTTGTAGGTACCGACCCGGGCCTGTATAGGATATCTTTCCTCATGCGAGTCAAGCCTAACCGCACTTCTTAAGAGTCTGTGTCAGGACTGGACCGGCTGAGCGAGGACTCAGATGCAGAGCTTGTTACAAAAAAGGTTTTATTAAACACAAAACGCACTCCAACGGAGTGGGACGGGGAGGCGCTCCAAACGGAGGAAAGAGTTACAACAGAAATCTTCTCCGAAGAGGCAGGAACAAAAGTGCAAATCAAGACAGCAAAGTACAACGAAAATCTCTCTTAACAGAGGACGAGGAGTAAACAAAGTAACAAAAGAATACTCACTAGATCAGGGAAGCTAGGAGATCAAAAACTCAAAAACACTCGCACGCAAGGAAAACAGGGCTCAAGGACGGGGACTATGAACAGGGCGAGGGAACTCGGGATCAGGAACTATGACGGGTCGAGACTATGGAACGAGGGCACATGAGACAAACGCAATTCTCTGGCACAGGACAAGGGGAGACGAAGACTATTTAAACACATGAAGGAAGGGGCCACAGGTGTACACAATAGGTAATCAGGGAGACGATCGGACTGGTGACACAACAGGAAGTGCAAGTGACCTGAAACGAGATGAGGGTTAGTCTTCAAAATAAAACAGGAAATGACGAGACGACATAAAGACGAGACGAAAAACCTCAACCAGGAGCACCACCGTGACAGTCTGATTCAGCTTGTATCAGCTGTGTTGACTCTACTCATGGTTCGCTTTAATATAGTTCAAAGAAATACCACCACAGTCTTCCAGAAACCCAAGTAGAGGTTTTGTTGGCTGAATAAAACTCATTCAAGTTCAGGAAAATCCCAACCATCACAGGTCTTGTTGCACATGTTACCATTTTCAGTGCAAATTGTTCGGTTATTAAAGAGTCCGAGGCCAAACAAAAGGCTCAAACCAACCGCTGTGACCAACAAATTGTTTTGCTCCTATTAGGCTTGAGCGGTGGTCAAACTTCGGGGAGCAGATACGCAACCAAAATTTTTAAAAAAGAGAAAGAAAAAAAAAGAAAAGAAAAAAAGGATTTGGATTTTGTGAAATAAGTTTTTATTTAAATGCAATTTATAGTCCAGTGTGACTCATATATGTTTTTGTCCTATTGCACAGATACAATCAGATGCAATTAAAAAAGAAGCTGGATGTTTTTTCATCTTCTTCTGTTTCATTGAGTTAGTGTATCATATCAGGTTTCATAGTGTATTTGAAACCTATGGTTCTTTTTTAATGTTTAGATATTTGCCCTTGGCAGAGAGTTTATGCTTATGAATTCATATTGGTGCTGCTCTCAGTATCAGAAAAGCTGATTCCGTTATACAAAGAAAATTCTGCAACTAAAAAAAATCATTTTACATCTTAAGAAAAATATTAACAGTGAGCTTTGTTCCAAATTGAAGTTTGTTTCAATTTCAATTAAGTTTGCTACACCAGAGTTAAAAGTTAAATGGAGAAAGTTTGGACTTTCCTTATTTTCATTAGCTTCACATAAGCACAGAAGGAAGCTTTCTCTGAACAAATGTTTTATTTTACTACAGATAACATCTCGAGTGTTTTTTGGAGAGCCAGGTCCCTGGTTCAGTAAAATGCATATGGACGGGGACAAGACAACCATCTTCCACGACATTGATGGCTCAGTCAGTGAATATCCTGGAGCCTTCCTGGTTAAAGAGGACAACTGGCTGCTCCGTCATCCCGACTGCATTGATGTGCCTAATTGGAAGGCTGCTATCTGTAGTGGGCAGTATGCTCAGGTCAGCATCCAGTCACACATTCATCATCAAAAACCCACATCTGCTCTTTACTTTACTTTGGTCTAATAAATACGATGACAGGGTTTGATTGAGCATGGCTATGACGTTAGATTTATACCAAAAATACAGTACATTGATGACCGTTGGCGACTGTGGCTATAAAAAAACGAAAGAGCTCTATTAATAGGCATCAGGTGAAGAAAAAATGATTTTGCAAGCCAAAAGAATACAGTTGTGATCTGTGTGCTTTTGTTTAGATGCTAAGTTTTCCTTGGTGTCCTCGGTATGAATTGGAAGGCACATCATGCAAACATCTGCTTTCACTAGTAGAACCAATATTTTTCCTTCTTGAAATACTTGTACTGCTGCAAGTAGAGCAGTGTACACAAGACAAGAAGAACTGGTAGCAATGTCAAGGACTGGACACAGAAATAAAGATTGAATTCAGATCGAGTTAAGGGAGCTGTTAATGCAGAGCTTAACCTAAACTCAGGGCAGAGGCACAACTGGAGGCACAGGTCTTTTTTTTATCATCACTGATAATTGGAAATGCTAACTTGCTGCCAAACAAATCTGGTAAGCTGGAAGTGCTTGTTCAGAAGCGCTGGCTATAAAGGGACAGAGTCCTGGAACACACACCAGATTTATGTGGACGTCCCCAGCTTCACACCTGTATAACCGTATCAAGGCCCTCATACTAGCAGTAGGTAGTAAACTGTGGCTATTATCCTATCTTTCAAATTATTGACAGAAATGGGTTCACCCTTGTGATGTCACCATTAATGAGACACCTGCAACGCTGAGATTTTGATTATATTATGATTATTATTTCTTTCTTTATTTGTCTACTTAGTCATTTATTTGTTTTGATATTAAATCATTATAAAATTGTCTGACAATTTACAATTTATTCAACTATTTGTGCTTTCCCCTTAAATGGATGGATCAAGTATTTGAATTTTACGACAAAAACAATTATGATCTAAACATTTGTAAAAAATGACACCACAATATGAATGGTTCTTTAACAAATAGATAGTGAACTTATTGAAGATATAAAACCATGAACAAACTAAATTGCCCCAAGTAGGATGTGAGTGTGTGTGGTTCTTCATCTATTTGTGGCCCTGTGATAGACTAGCGACCTGTCCATGGTGTACCCCGGCTCTCGCCCAGTGTCAGCTGAGATAGGCTCCTGCCCCCTACAACCCTACTAGGAAAAGATAATATGACCAATGAATGAATAGATGAATAATTTAAGTTCTCAACAGAAGAAATAAGTATATATGACCTTTTTTATGCTGATAATTAGTGGTAGCAAGTCAAAGGTAGATCAAACCACAACTTGATCTACTACCAGCCCTTCTACATCCCCCTGCATATAAAGGTTGCAGGTGTCTATGTGTCTGAACAAACTCATTTACAGGGCTGGTTCAGTTCTGGGGAGGAGTCTGTATTCTGTGTATACTGTCACATAAAAGGTGCTGCTGGTGGAAGGTACAGAGCATCATGGACTGTGACAGTCACAGCCTTCACCCCATCCTGCCTGGTCAAGAAAGGAGCCACATCAATAATTAATAATAATAGGATAATAATTATTCCACACAGCCATCAGATTGTACCTGAAGTTAACTGAAGTCTAACTGATTGCACTGTCTGTTGCACATTTGCACACAGGATACTGTAGCTTATTGTAAATGTATGCTAACATAATACAGTATAGTACAGTTTGTAAATTGGAATGATATATTTTTTAATGTATGTTACGCCTACCTTCATTCTTATTTTTACATCACTTTAATACTTAAATATTTATCTTTTCAAGTGACGGCTTAGCTAAAATGATTTTCCTGCAACAAAATAATATTTAATTCAATATTTAATTCAGTTTTTATGACTTTTTTCCAGATCTACATCCAGACAAGGAACCCTGCTGACTTAAATATGCACATAGTGAGAAACGAGTATCCTGAGCGGCCCCTGACACTAGAGGGTGCCCTAGGGAAGAAGAAACACTACCAGCAATTTCAGCCTGTGATAACACTCGCAAAGGGTTATACCATTCACTGGGACCAGGTTGCACCTGCAGAGGTCACCATCTGGCTCATCAACTTCAACAAGTCAGTACTCATGTGACAAGCAGTCGTGGTAGCACATACAGAAAGCCCCTTCACAAGATACATGTTGTTTGGATTGTTGACCATGTCGTTGGTTTCACAAAACAGAAATGTCACCATGCAAGTGTACGAGATAACACCAGAAGAATCATTTAAACAGACGTTAATGGAACGAGGAAGATAATAGATCAATACAGACCCAATTCAAACTATAAGGACAAACGTTCAGCAAGACAGAAATTAAGTCTTTGTCTAGTTACATTCTATTCACTTCAATTAAGTTTCATGTGTGACATGAAAAATTAATAAGTAATCGCCAGGATTTCAACTAAGCAGACTGTAGAATGTATTTAAGGCACTGCTTTGTATTTGTGTGATTCTTTGTGTATGGGTAAGAGAAAAAAAAAGGTGGGTTATTCTCTCTTTAGGATTTTGAAGTCCACATAATGAACTACAGTATACTTCAGAAAAACTGTCGAAATTTGAATCAGACCATTAGCCTCATTGTTTTGTAGGAAGCCTGAGAATAAACCAGAAAATTTGTCAGTGTAAAAATGCTTAGGCTTTGATAACTGTGTGGGGTGTGTATTATCAATAGCTGTAGTGATACATTTTATGCAAAAGAAGAACCTAATGCATACAATACAGCAACATCCACATCAGGGTTTCTCATTCAAAGCAACATCCAATGAAACTAACACTTATTTCTACCTGGGTCGGTTAGGGGGTAAAAATAAGAGGCAAAGATAAAAGAAGGTATTCAAACCGTGTTTTTGGTTGGGGGTAATGAAAGTATAGGGGATGCAGTAGGTGGAGACAGGACAAGAAACAGTTGTAGCAAAAAGGAGACAGCATGCATCATGACACAAGAGACTTTTAGAGAGAGACACACTGGCAGCTGACTCTACAGAGAGAGCCCTAATTGTACTTTTAGAAACTCTATGAACCACAAACACACATGCAGTCTTAGATGTTAACATCATAACGTAATGATATCCGCTTCTGTTCCAAATGCACAGTGAGCGTTCTGCCGTCCTTCCGCCCTCAGACGTTTGCACTTCTGACAAGTCCATACTAGCAAGTTCACAAGTACTTGTAAGTGTACTTTGTATCAAGAAACAGCAACAGTTTTGTGCCTGTGTCGGACAAAATGATGTCACGCGCCAGTCAGCCCGTCTTTCCGCTCGGTCGTAAACCATGTAGACCTGTGCTGGGTCGAAAGGCTGAGTTGGCACTAATTTTTAGACTTTTTAACTTTGTCGTTACACCTTTGCTTAACAAGGATTTAAGTTACTGAACTGTTCTTGGCCTCCATCATTGTATTTTGCTCTTCATAATATGCTACACATTTTTAATGGGAGACAGGTTTGGACTGTAGTCTAATACACACACTCAGTTTGAACACCAAATAGCAATGTCTTTATAATGCAAATCATTGTACTTTTACACAATTTCAAAGCTACAGTTGAATTTGGGTTTGTATGAAGCCTTTCACCTATTTTGTGTTTGAGAAATGGTATAGCTTTCAGAATTTTGTGACGAACAGACATGTATTTTGTGACTATTCACCAAATGTATTTGTTTGTTTCAGAAATGACTGGATCAGTGTAGGTGTCTGCTACCCACATGGCACCACCTTCACAATTATCTCTGATATCCATGACCGCCTTACAAAACAGACCCGTAAGGCCGGCATCTTTGTGAGGACAGCCCAGAGGGAGAAGATAAATTACTCAAATTTGGCCAGGGGATACTACTATTTGGAGGAAGACACAGGGTCAGACAAACACACACCACTACATTAGCTCAACAATGAACCACAAAAGTACCTTAAATTTAGAGGAATCTTTGAAAGATCTGAGAAATTATAATTCTAGCCGGAAAATGTTGTTCACATTTATTTGCTGTAATAGAACAATTCATAGAACATATTTATTGACTATATCCACCTGCATGAACAAATATGGCAGGAGCGCATTTTGAGCGGGTCAGTGTATAATATCCAACTGCACAACATGCTTCTTCAAATAGGGGTTAGTGCCAACTGCTGGTGGAGCACATTTTGTTCACTTATCATAAATAAGCACTTTGTACAATATCATCTCAAATAAACCTAATCAGTGAACAAAGCATTAGGTAAAACATTGAACTGTGTCAGTTTGTTTCCACTGTATCATAACATCTTTACTTAATAAAGCGTAATAATTACCTGCTAGTAACCCAAAATTATGTTTTAAAATAGTCAGAAAACCAGTATAAGAATGCTTGTATTCTATTGGTCTTATGACACAACATTGCCCATACACTCACACACCACTTAAATCAGCATCAACATCAGTTTGTGATGTCCACCAGGGAAGTTGTCCAAAGTAAAGCCTAAATACGTCTTTCAAGTGTAAGCATGTAGTGTAGTGCATTCCTGTAGACATGAATAACATGAAGTAGAAAAGATCAAATCTGATGCCTTTTATGTGTGTGCTGCAGGCTGCTCTTCCTGAAGGTAAAGGCTCACAATGATAGGGAACAGTTTGCGTTCTGCTCTGTCAAAGGCTGTGAGCGGGTAAAGATCACAGCCATTATCCCAGAGGGAAGTCCACCCAGCAACTGTTTGGCAAAGGCCTACCCCAAACATGCTGAGCTTCCTGTTGTAGATGTACCAATGCCGAGAAAAAAACCCAACATCTGGCTTGTGAGTACCATTATCAATTATGGTATTACTCTACTCTTAAGCTTTTTTGTGCACACTTCCTCCATCCATCCATCCATCCATCCATCCATTTTCCACCGCTTATCCGGGGTCGGGTTGCGGGGGAAGCAGCTGAAGCAGGGAAACCCAGAATTCCCTCTCCCCTGCCACTTCTGCCAGCTCCTCCCAGGGGATCCCAAGGCATTCCCAGGCCAGCCGAGACACATTCACACTTCCTCACATACTTTTAATTTCTTTCCCCAAAGTTTTCGGTTCATTATTTTCCACAGCTTTTTCAGAATACTGGTGCTCTGGGTTTTGTTATTGGAAAATTAAGCAGTTTAGTTAATTGCTCTCCATACACAGTTTACTTATCCTAAAAATACATCATTTGGATGTGTGCAGCATTGGTTTGACCTCAACACTGGTCATCTAGTGACATCATGTACATGCCCCCTTTAAAGGTCAGATAACACCAGTGAAAAGAATGGGTGGGAAAAAATGCTAAAATTATCAGCTAATGAAATTATTATTGCGCACATTATGAACATTATATACTCTTGTTTTTCAAGGTTTTCAAATACCAGCACAATCAATGTGTCAGTGGCTTCAGATTTACCTGTAAGTGTGGACATAAAACAGTCTATTTCAGCTACCCCTTCTCTTAGCTGGCTATTTCTGTATGGAGTTGAAATGTTTTTGTGCCTGGGTTCCCTCTAATCAATCTGGCTTCCTCTCACCATCCACAATCATTAATGTTAGGTTAACTGGTGACTTTGAATTGACTCTAGGGGTGAGCATGAGTGTACTTGATTGTTTTTCCCGTTTGTCCCTGTTTGTCCCTGTGATTTACTGACGACTGTCTAGAGGAATACCCTTTTTCTCGCTTAATGACAGCTGGGATAAGCTCCAGCCCCCCCAGATGGCCCTGACTTGGAATACGTGGATGTAGAAGATGGATGGAGGAATGGTTTACATGTCATATCTTTTATACATACTTTAAACTTTCACATGAAATGCATATGAGTGTTGTACACCATTATAATTACCTGCTGTGTTTTTATTTACACATTTACACCATTTTCTCTCCTGTTTCTGTCCTGTTTACACCAATCTTGAAATCTAACTATCGTAATGATAGATTTTTTTAAATAGTATTTCTGTTTCCACTTTGCTTGTTTGTTTGTGTCTTCTCAGCACTCACCAGAGCACTTCCTGGAGGTCAAACTGGAGTCTTACAGTACTCGCTTCTTTCACATTAAGGAGGACTTTGCATTTACTGAGGTATTCTTCATTTGATGTTGGAGTGAAATAGATGTGAACAGCAGATGAAATATGCATAAAGTGGGCTTCATGAGGTTCTAATAGTATTTCTGTATCTTTAAACCACTATTGTGATAAATATAAAGACATGAATGCCATATTTTGCTTTTCACCGTGTAAATAACAACACATCTGTTTTTTCAGGTGTATGGGAGGAAGTTATACCAATCAGAAGATGGGGTGCAGCTGACAGTAATTGATGGGCATGATGGGAAAGTTGTGGAAACCAAAGGTTTCAGTACCTCCATCCTACAGGGAATCCCTGCACAGTTAGAGAATTATGTCAATCGGCTGAGTGACAGGTAAGAAGCAATGCCACCCCCTCAGGCTTTCTTCACACTAGATTTACAAAAAAGTGTATCCACACCGCCACAGGATAGAGTTTCAGTGGGCAAAATGTATTTCTTACAATTTCAATTGATTTTTAAAAGAAGAATGTGTCTCCTGATCAGATAATACAGTTTAAAAGCTGCATCTAGTGTAGGATCTATCAGGAGATGAATACTGATATCTGACTGATGTCTCTTACTCACTAGTTCCATTATCCTAATGACATCTAAGGGCCACCTTCCAATAAGAGGACCCTGGACCAAAGTCCTGGAGAGACTTGGAGCAAAGAAAAGCATTAAACAAAGAGGTAAAAACCATCATTACCATGGTCTAACATTAGTGTGCTCACGGATGTATTGTGATATAATGTCATCCTTTACCAATGAATAAGAGATAAAAGAAGAATTTTTTATACACATGTATAAAAAGTGTATTTTTGGATGGTCATGAGAAGATGATGCAGGAAAAACTCAGCTGACACAGACATATTCAAATAAAGTAGAATATTATTTTCAACCAAGTCCATATGAAAACTACAAATGTATGAAATGTATGAAACTGGATAGCAAGTCACTCTAGGTTGATTTCTCAGATGTTACCCCGACTAGAAAGAAAAATAAACATATGTTACAAAATGTGGTAACAACACAACTCCCATTACTTCATTTTAACCCAATGTATCCAAAACCTCTTTAAATTAAATTAAATTAAATTACATTTTATTTATACTGCGCCAAATCACAACAGTTATCTGACAGTTAGCTTTCTAAAAAGAAGCAGGTCAGACTGTACTCTGAAGTTATTTACAGAAGCCCAAAAATTCCCACAAAAAGCAAGCACTAGGCAACACAGGCAAGAGAAAAACTTCCTTTGAAGAGGCGGAAACTTCGAGCAGAACTATGGCTCAGGGTGCCTCGACGGGTTGGGGGTGAGAGAAAGAGAGAGAGAAGGACAGAGAGAGAAAAGCCTACACGGTAACACATAGAAGTACAGACAAGTAAAAGTGTGTTGCTATAGGCTGGATGAAAAGTGGTACAGATATTGATAGGAATGTTAATGATAACAGTAATGATAGCAATATGACTAGGAACATTAGTTGTAATTGCAGCAGAGGGTGTCGAGTAGGAAGACGGGGGCAGCGGGAGACTCCCAACCACAAATCCAGACGCCACAGCTCCAGGAACACCTGCAGGAAGTGATAGGAGGAAACTCCCAACCACAGATCCAGACTCCACAACTCCAGAGCCAGGAACACCTGCAGGAAGTGATAGGAGACTCCCAACCACAGATCCAGACACCACAGCTCCAGGAACACCTGCAGGAAGTGATAGGAGGAGAGGGATGAGAAAGCACATGACCATTTCTATCACAATGGACATGTCTATCACAACATTACATCTACAGCAAAGGGGAAAAGTCCAGTTAGTGACATGTATTAATGGGACGAGGTTGCACTGAAAGGGAGAGAGAGAAGAGGAAAGGGGAGCTTGGTCCATCATGGGAAATCCCCTGGAAGTATAGGCCTATAGCAGCATAACTAAGGGTGGACTCACCTAAGCTAGCCCTAACTATAAGCTTTATCAACAAGGAAAGTATTAAGCCTACTCTTAAATGTAGAGACAGTGTCTCCCTCGCAAACCCAAACTGGAACCTGGTTCCACAGGAAAGGACTCTGATAGCTGATAGAGTCCACATGTATCTGCTGTTTAATAATCACCATATCTATCGCAATGGACATGTCTATCACAACATTACATCTTTTTACATCATTATATTTACATATTTTTTACATATTTTTTCCAGTTTTAAAATGACATTTTGCAACCAAGAGGATTTAGTAACGTCACAGTGGACCATGGCCAAAATAACAACAAAAAAATAAGAAAACAACTTTGCTGACTAAACAAATCACAAACCAAAAATACGATCATCTTACTTTCCAAAAATAATGAATTCAACAAAAATGGTAGTCCTACACCCCTACTTTATAATCCCTTGTGTTGCCAGTTTAAATCATTATCGTAGAAAAATTGAAATATTCAAAGTAGATTCATTTAATTGATATCACTTTCTGTTTTCAATTCTTCCTGTACCGTACATTATGGATTAAAACTATCTTATTCCAGTCAGAGTAAAAATAAGAGGATTCAGTAGAAATTGTGGAGCATTTTTTACATCCTTTTTTTTTATTTCTGGGAGAGTTAATGGCTTATGAAGGACCCTGTTATCTATTACTATCTACAGTACAGTTATCAGCTCTATTGGCTCCCCATTAATTTAAACTGACGTGACACTCACATGAGGTTGTCTACACACATACTCATCTCCTACAAATTAAACTATGAAAAACCTGTTTGAAAATAATCATGACACCTGTGCAAACAAATACGCAAACAAAACGTCCAAGTTGCTCTGTTATATATAAATCAGTTAGCATTGAATCAAAGCCAACTTGCCCCACGTCAGTTTGTCACCAAGATTAACTCATACACATTAAAAAATTTAATATTTTATCTATGGATGCTTATATCTTTGGTAGATATGTTGCGATGTACATGTATACCAGAGTTGGTGTGTGTATTTATACATGTTTGTAGACATGTCTTTATGAATCAGTGTATGGATGCATATGAGTGAACGTCCACACAGGTGTGTAAATATATACAAGTTTGAACAAGTGTATGTGTCTGTGTGTACCTTGTCTGTGTGACCTTGTATGTGTGTTTGTATGTGAACAAGTTGGTATGTGTGTAAGTTAAGACAATTTGTGGATGAAATCCCACTGACATCCTTTTTTAAAGATAATGGATTGATTAATGTTGGTAGGGTCAAGTTTGAATTGTTTTTATAGTGGGTCCAGTTGATCCTTCCCTAACTTCAGGAGGCTCTAGAATTGGGGTATTTTTCCTGTTTCTCTGTCGATTTTTGTTTACATTTAAATATTTAGCAGATGCTTTTACCCAAATCCACTTTATAAGAATAGAGAAGAGAATTTTATATACATTTTATGTGATCACTGTTCTTTCTATAAGAAAATAGTTTCTGTTGATTCAACAAAACAGCTTATACATGCCAGGACACCGAATGAAATTCAAGTTAAAAACGTATAGATTGTCTTCGGAAATCAAATACTAATTGATTGATGTGTGATGTCTGTAGTTTAATAGTAGTAGCTACTACTATTATTATAATATATCAAGATGCACATATATATGAATGATACTCATGTATCATTGTAATTTATTTCTTGTTATATTAGTAAGTATTTATTAATATACCGTACTTTATCATTTTTATATAAATTAGATATTCATTATTTAAATGCTATGAATATTGAATGTATCATTGTCATTTATTTCTTGTTATATTAGTAATTATTTATTAATATACTTTATCATTTTTATATAAACTATATATTCATGATTTAAATGCTATGAATATTGAATTCCATGTATTAATCACTCTGGAGCTTATTAATCATAATTCATTTAGTTCTACACTAACTGGAAGCACAGTAAATTAGTTTTTCCAACTTGTCCAACTAATACACACTGCAAAACAGTTCTCAACATAACAGTTCTTCAAAACATAGTTTTACAAATAGCATAAAATTCTTTGCAGCATATATTCTTTAGTCTGATTGAGGAGTTTTGTTCCTCCACAAAGACAGAAGACAACTTAGCGAGAATCCAAATATGAAACGGACAACATTTAAACAAATCATTCAGACAAAACATTGAAACGAAACATACGTCCCAGCTGAGTCAAATGCATTCCTTCCTACTGTTTCTTTTATTAAGCATGTTTACAATCACACACATACCTGCCCAGACACACACCTCTTTTAACCTCTTTACAGTTGCTGCTCAATAATGATATGCTTACTAATGTCATTGCTAGCAGCGTTTTTGCTGCCTCTGGTGTTTGTTGCTTGTTTTTTTTTGTTTTTTCTTCTATAGGTTTATTGCAGACAAGATGCTTTTGTCTTTTAAAGTTATAGCAGCTCGAAGACCACGAAGACTGGACGCCTAGACACTAAATTTGTGTTAGCTCGTGTTATGTTGCCATCCTGTGTTTTTTTTGTTTTTTTCTTCTGTCTTGTTTGGACATTGTGTGCCAGTCTATCTGGCACACAATGTCCATTTCTACAGGCATATAGCCAGAATATAATTTATCTACAAGGCCTCCCCTTGATGCGCTTTGCTTTGGAATGTGTTTACTTTAATATTTATGTTTCAAACAGGAACAGTATGTTCATATGTTTACACTTCAGACACTAAACACAGAAAGTAGACAGTAGAATGTATCATTTAAGCGACAGTGTTTCATGTATTTAGTTTAAATCAATGTATTTGTTCACAAGCAAATAAACACATTTACATGTAAGCTGGGACAAAAAAAAATGTATCCCAATTTCACAACAACCAACCCAGCCGTCCACCCACCTCATCTGCCTAATATAGTCATATTTACTACGTTGAATAAATTAAACTAAAGTAACCAACTGCGCAACAGCAGAGTGTGCTGTAGCACTGCTGTAATATTTGATATTTTTGTAAATACCACACAGCTAAAGGAAAGGTTTTTAAACACAGTTATTCTCTGAAGTAGATACGATAGACGAGACAATATTATTGTGTTGGTTCTGTCAGAAAATAATTACGTACACTGTGGCACAGATCGCTGCACTAGTGGAATTTGTAGAGACTTTTGAAAATATTTAGACAAAAAGTACTCTGAGTTCATTTGTTACAATGTAAACTGTAAAGTTTAAGGTCCCAGCTTCAACAATTATAGCACTATAATTCTTTTGATCTGTCTCCAGATAAGTTGGCATTTGTTGGATTCAAAGGCACGTTCCACCCTGACTGGGTCAATCTGGAGTTGAGCAGTGACCGAGCCAAGATCCATCAGGTCTTACCCATTCCTGTCACCCACAAGATGAAGCTACAGGTCACCGGCTGAGTGGAGTCCTACATGGAGAACTGGTGTCAAGTAATGATGTTATTATGACATTCTTGGATATTGTTGCACATACCCTGACAAAAGCAGACTGATACTCACATATACACACACAGTGCTAGGACTGCAGTCAGTTGCTTCAAATGATTGGACCAAATCTGATCTGGACATCCAGGATCCAGCATAGGCCTATTAGCCCGCCATGTTGAACTTATTACTGTGGCTCAGTAATAGTGATAGTAAAATGCTTCAGAATAAACCCTGCCCTAAACATCTTCAACAGCTTTTTAATGGTAATTCTCATTAAATTGTCAATTTAAGCTGATATTAAATGAGGTCAGGTGAGTGGGATGTTATTAGTTATATGAACTATCATTATGAACATTACCTCATGGACATGCAAACATTAATCGGTTTTCTGCTTTCATTATTATTACATTACAATCAAAATTCTAACATTCTAAATACCCTTTTGAAGACTTTTACCCTTTAAACCAGCATTAACCTTTCATATTTTGGATGTAATCTATCTGCTAGATGTCATCTTTATTGGAAAATGTATCCATCCATCCATTATCAATACCGCTTATTCCCTCATGGGGTCGCGGGGGGAACTGGAGCCTATCCCAGTGGTCAACGGGCGAGAGTCCGCCAGTCCATCGCAGGGCCACACAGGACATACAAGGACAAACAACCACTCACACTCACATTCACTCCTAAGGGCAATTTCCCCAATCTCCAATCAGCCTAACATGCAGGTTTTTGGACTGTGGGAGGAAGCCGGAGAACCCGGAGAGAACCCACGCAGACACAGGGAGAACATGCAAACTCCACCCAGAAAGGTCCTGGTTCCCCTGGGATTCGAATCCAGAACCCTCTTGCTGGGAGGCGACAGTGCTAACCACCACACCACCGTGCCGCCCTGGAAAACGTATGCACAATGCAAATGTTAACACTCAACTGTTATCACCGCTGTATGGTGTTTTTGGAGTATGGACAGTCGAGGGAACTTAGGAACAACACCTCCGTTTTTACTTCTTTTGACCAAATAAGGCCAAGTTGATCACTGGCATCACACATGAGGAAATTGCATACTGTTGCTGTGAATTATTAAGTGAGTAAAATAAGGACTGATTTCCAAAGGCTTCAATGAGACATTCTATTCAATATCTTAGACGAGATTAATGTATTAGTTTTGTCCTTTCCAATATTTGATCACCATTGGCTACCGATATTTTTGTAGGTAAGAAGTTTTGAGCTCAATAAATATTAACATTTCAGCTTCCACCCATTAATTATTGTTAGTAATAATTGGAAAAACCATCTAATTCCAATTAACCATTTCTGAAGACTCTTGTAAGCTTTTCACAGTGAGGAGAGGAGAACAGAAGAAAGTTCCTCAGCTTTAAAAAATAATCTGTTTAGAAAGTTTCAGAATCTCTAAGCTAATCAAACATGCATGGTTTTGGACTGTGCAAGGATGCCCAGAGAACTCATTCATAAAGAGATCATATGAAAACTCCATGCAGAAAATTCCCCAAGTTTCTCTCTCTGTGAGGTAACAGTGCTGGCCACCACAAGAATGGAGCCAAACAGTTGATTTTATAACTCACAAGTTTTTTGCATTTTCTTCACATACATAAAGGCAGTTGTTTTCCATTCAATTCAGCTCAGTTAATACCTTACAAATACAAACCTGTTCATTTTAATACCTAACCTCTCCATCTCAGATAACCATCAAAAAATGTATTTCTGCGTCAAAAAAGAAAAGTCATCAACAATAACCTGTCAAGTAACCTACAATGAGACATTCCAACAGTTAACAACATGAGGAGTCCAGTCTCCTTCTTGGCAGTTGGTGCTGTTAATACTATTTTCCATCTCCTTTGACTTTGTAGTTAATTGAATTTGATCAAAAGTTGCACTTTTTTCAATTGCAGCGAATTGTGTCTGTGGAGCTATGTTCTTGTATATTAGCATGACATAACAGAGAAAAACATTTCTTTGGACAAGACTATTTGCATGGTTCGCAAAGAGAGTAAAGGGAGGAGAGGTGCATTATACCAGCTCCCCGGGGTATCAAGCAGTACAAATATGGGATTTTTCAGCATCACCTGAGCCATTGCAAACCATAATATGTATCCTAAAGGAGAAATTTAAGCCTAATCTTAAATGTGCAGAGTGTTGGCTTCCTGAACCCAAACTGAACTAAAGGCTCTTCCTTCCACTCTACTTTTAGAACCTCTAGGAATAGAGGTATAGATCTGTAGTCTGAGAAAAAAGTCAGGAAAATATACCACTATCAACAAATATTCTGAAAATTAAATTAAATAGAACAAAGCAAAACAGAATAAGATTAACATTTCAGAGCAGGAATAAAACACATTTATCATCACATTCTTATTTTTCTGCTGTGAAGCACATGTTGTGATTCGGGCTTTACCTTGGCCCCACATGTAGATCTGTGTCTTCCAGTGTTCTGTTGCAAAGCTGATGTCCTCCACCTCTTGCTCACATCTTGTTTGTCCATATACGGATAGGTTTCCATGTCTCTCATTTGATGCCTCTGCTGAATCTTTTACCCATAACAGCTAAGGCTTACTTTTCTGATTGTGATTCCAGAATTGAAAGACCAAATAAAACAGATTTATCAACATTTTCTCATTCTCTCTAAGGAAGATTGTGCATCCAGAATTATTATTTGCTTCCATCTTCATATTGTTGCAAAAAATATTTTACATGTAAATAATCTTCAACAGTGTACTACTTTTCCTCTTGGATAGAAATAGGAGTGAAAACCTTGTTTCTACATGAGAAACATGCACAGGAATTAGAAATCTGATGAATGGGGATGCATTTCTGCATTTGTGTGCATGCTTTCATGCACTTGGCCCCTGAATGTTTTAAATCATTTTTCATCATTAGGAAGGAGTAACGCATTAGCTTACTATTGATTTACTAAATTTTTACAAGTTGTTCTTAATTTGTCTCCTGAAAAGTTGTTAGTCTCCACTGTTTCATCCTGAACACACAAGTCTGTGACCCATCTCTTTGTGTTTCATAAAACATTAGTAATTCTTTTAAATTAACCATTGAACAATTAAATGAAACTTGTAAATGTGCAATTCCCCTTTTCAGAAGCTTTTTTTCTGGTTTGAAAAAAAGTCCTACTCCCTCTGCTGGTCTTTTTTCAGAGGTTGTGTTTTAGTGTTTTGTCTTTTTTAATCACTCTATAAACATCCTCAGATTACTACAATATATATATTTTTTACTTTATTTAATGTACAGACACAGTTTATCAAAAGCTACAAGGGACATATTTTGAATTGTAATATCAACATTGTCTTATGCATGTATTCTGCATGTAAGAAACAGATAATAGTTTGTTTTAGTCCACGTTCACTGAATACTAAATAGCTGTTTGTGCTAAACAATGTGTTTTGAATATTTCACTTGTGCTTGTAATGTGACTGATTTCTGTGGGGTTTTTGTACAGAAATAAAAGAAATTATGAACATGCACTCTTAATGCCTCCGCTGTAACAAAGAATTTTCTTGACAACAGGGATGCCATCAATTATCATGCCTGTAGACTGATAACTTTCAAAATCCTTGTGATTTCTTTATTAAAAAATATGCATTTAATCTATTAACAGTTCTAAATTCGTACAATATCAAATCATATAACAATTATTCAGTAACTGGAATAGAAACATTTATTGGACTATAGAGCCGTAATTTGCAGCTGACAGAAACTAGACCTGAGTTTATAGAACCTCTTGCAAGCCTACATGCTTTATAAGTTTCTTCTGTAAAGGTATGGAACCTAAGACTATGCTATTCACGTAAACCTAAACAACATTGCTACTGTTGCCAGGAGTCGATATCACTCTCTTGAAATGGTCTGAGGAACATACTATTTTAAGGGTAAACTGTGTCCACAAAGTTTCCATACAATCCTATCCTGCATCTGTTATGGAAAAAGAAGACCAACCCGAGTTGAGACAACCTTCTCTTGATGGTTCAGTGGAGGTACGGCAGTAGTCTTTTCAGTCTCCCAGAACTGAGATGTATTGGTAGTAAAGGAGACCCTATTCCGCATAAGGCAAGCAAGTTGTCATAATTAGCGGCTAATCAGTGTATAAATTAGATTCGGCAGTGACTTCAGCATCTCCCCAAAGACCCCTTCCAGATTTAGAATGTACTGTAGAGACCATGGATTTAATCAGAAACCTTCCAATTTGTGGAGCAGTGACTAAGCCACACCTGCTCTATGCTACGGATCAAAATTAAACAAGAATATCAAAGAATAACAACAATCAAGAATGTTATCAACTTTAAATAAATTTGGCCTATTTGTCATATTTAAGCTGAGAAGAAATGTTGCTCATCTTTTTTTTATTACTAATCATTTAGGTTCAAACGGGAAATTAAAAGACAACTGAGGCAGTTTTGGGGGTAGATTTAAAGAACTCAAAAGAATGTTTTTATATCGATTGACTGGAAAAATAAACAAAGATACTGAACATATATTTGGACCACGCTAAATTAGTTTTTTTTGCAATAATTCCTCTTGTTTCATTTAGATACTCAAGATAAAAAGTAAATCATTCTGACCAGGACTCAGAGACATCACACTGAAAACCAGCGGATCCTCAGTGAAAATCACTAAAAGTTCAATGAAATCAAAGGCACCGGGATAATCATTTAAAAAAATCTTTATTTCCATTTTTGATGAACAAAAAACATGTGGGTGCTCTTTATCACTTTCACATCAAATCATGAAGAACAGAGTGGGCCTGTGCACCAAAAAATGAAAAAACTAAATCTTAATAATGCTTACTTGTGTACCTTACAAAAATATGTGATTGGCTGTTTATCATTGGTTCCAATTCGAGTGTTAGAGCTGCAGAGATCAACCAGAATGTGCTGATAATCATCTATACACATCACTCCTCTGTAAGGGGGTGGGGATGCCAACAGAATCAGAGAGGTGATTCCAGTTTAATCTTCAAACTTAATATTTCACATGGGACTGATTGGTTCATTCACATAATGTTTTAGGTTCAGCAGTTCATTGTGTTCTTGGTGCTCACAGAGCAGATGTACCAAAGGGCAGCAGAGCAATACCCTGGGACTCATCACGTCCCCTTCCTCAGCAGTGTCACAGCTCCTGTTTCAGATCACCAGCACTGTTTCCCCTCACATCTGGCTTCTTGCCCTCTGCCTTCTTACCTTTTTTCTTGGTTTTGATTTCATTCTGCGGCTTGTTTTTGGAGTCATCCTTACTGGTTGCTTTCCCTGGAAATACTTGTCCCTCCACAGTTACATCTGCACAACGGTCCTGGGCGACAAGGAAATCCTTAACTTCCCAGGCCATGCTACCGTCCCGCAGCATAAAGATCACCCGGTTTGAGCCCACCACGAACCTGAAAGAGGAATAAAGCAGGTGTTTAATTCTGAGGTTGTAAGCCCCATCAGCATACGCAGTCTGTTCCATTCTAGTCTAAAATCTATGCTGCTGGCAGCTTTGAGCACCATGCAAGTACTTATGAGAACCCCCCTGGATCCTGTTGGATATATAAATCTGAGTGTAAATCTCTCTGTGTTGCTCCATCCTGAGCAGGAGGATCAGATATCAGACTGGAAATTTCCAGCTGGGGTGGTAGGGGGGCCACCATGGGCTGATTCTCTCTTGGGTCTGTTGTGACACATCATCTTCAAACCAAAAAAGATCCAGCTTTGTTCTAGGAGATTAAAGGCCCCTCAGTCCTTTTCTTTTCCGCAGGCTGAGTTTCAGGCTGCTGAGGGGCTTTCAGCTCTGCCACACAGAGAAACTTTTCCATTCATCTTAAAATCCAACCAACAGATTTGACATGTCATTGCTTATGCTGGCCCTGTGGTGTGTCCTCAGCCCAGGGCAATTGAACAATGTGAATGTATCATTGAATATACCAGTGAGCTTTGGCTGCTTTCCTTTGTGTCTGAGAGGGTTTGGGGCCCTGTTTAGTGCTTTATGGGTCTGATTTGACAGTCACAGTCATAGCTGCTTGACCACTGATGGCCCTGCTGCAAGCTGTCTGATCACCTGTTTCCAAATCCCAAGTTAGAAACCTGAGTGTAACTGATGGTTGCAGAGAGCTTAGAGCTGTTACTTCTGTATATTTATTTGTGCCTCTGAGAAGAATGGCTAAGCAAAAAAGTTGAAATGCTTAAACGTATCAGTGATTAGGAGCTATTACTGCATATATTGAGTTGATTTTAGATAAAAGATGATGGACAGTTGGTGCAAGTTAGTTAGAAAGCTTAAGAGAAGTCCTGATATTAATTATTAAAACACTTTCTGCATATACTGTCATCAACCATATTTGATTATTTATTTTGTATGAAACCTCCTTAACATTCCAGCTCTCTCCTTCATAAACTGTTATCCTGTCAGCATACAGCGCAGGCTGTACATGGGGCTCTGAGTCTGCATGCCAAGGGAAGACAGTATTTATTCAATCTTTTAACCAGCCAATACTACAACTATGATTGATATTCAGTACCTCTGAATGTCAAAGTTGGCGTTAAAAAGGCTGCCCTGCCACAGGCCTGTTATCTCCTCCGTTTCCTTCTCGGTGGGATCTCCAGAGACAGTAGCAAATACCATCAGGGTCCGGCCTTTCTTCGACATCTTCAGTAGCTCCTCTGGCTTGGAGGGGTCCACGTTCGAAAAATCAATGGGAGGAGGAGACCGTTTGTGCTCGGGAAGGTCCCCCTCTTCAATGTCATCATCTTCCTGTAAAACAAGGAGATCACGTCACATAAGAGCGTGTGGACATCTACAGGGAACAAAACTACGGGCACCATCAATTACTTTAACACATGATGTACAACGTGTTAAAGTGTGTGACACTTGTGCTCGAAAGTAAAGTGTGGTGAGAAGCTAACTCGCTGTGTGAGTGGGGAGAAGCCGTGCTCTGACCTCCCACTGCTCGAGGAGCCGCGCCATGTCCGCATCATTGTAGTCTCGAATGTCCTTCTTTTTCTTGACTTTGTCTTTGCCCTCCGCCGCCACACCACACAGAAAACAAAAGTACAACACGAGCAGCATACACCTCCACGTAATGTCGGACGCCATGCTTTTACAGATGGTACGCTGCGATTGGCTGACAAGACCACTGGTCACATGACCGGAGAGGGCGTGACAGGATGCCGAGCAGGTCCTGGGTGAACTTCACAGTAAAGTCCGAATGAAGCAGGTATAAACTACGTAAAATAAAGAAGTAAAAAGACGGTAGGGATGCGCATTGACGTCATCACATGTCCATGTTTCAGACAGAACTGCAGTCCTATTCTGTATTTCACACACATACCTGAAACTCTCCTCTTTAAAGTAATGTCACATCTGGATAGTTTATGTGGCTGTTAAACCAATCTCTAAAAACCCAGTATTCTGTACAGGTTTTAAGGCGAAAATGTGTTGAAAGTCATTTAAATAACATGAAGTAAACTCAACTTGTTAAAAAAAAAAAAAAGTGTTCCCACTGTAAAGATCTTTCTTGTCAGTGTGATTTTTTGCAAGTTTCAACAAAATAAAAAGGTGCTGTATATTTATTGTCAGGCACAAGAAAATAATATCACAGCAAAAAAACAGTATTTAATAAAAAAGTAAAATATATTCAAAGATTGCACTTGTGTACATATGTACATATTGCACTGTTCCACTTGAGTTCTGTATTTCACCTTGAAGAAAAGGTATGTTACAAATAGTATTACTTAAGGCTTAAGGCTCCAAGAGTGCTCTCAACCCTCTGATCACTTTAGTAGGTATACACGCCATGTACACAGGTTACCTTATTGTTGTCCTTAACTTTTGCTTTTTTTTTCTCAGCAGGTATCCCTGGTGTCATAGGGCTTGTCCCTTTTCCCCTCTCATCTCAACCCATCTTAACCATCTCCATTAAGGTAGATGGATTAGATTGGATTTTAATTAGAACTGATTGGTCTGTAATTATCTGCTTTTGACTATATTTGACTATATATGTGAGGATTACTTTTATATTTTTCTTTTTTTACTTGCCTATTGCAGTCAGTAGTTACTAATGCTTTTTTCAAATTATTATTTGTAAATAACATCAAACTATATGACCCAGAGGAATGGGACCAAACAAATGAGGCCGCATAATATGGAGACACAGATCAATAAAAAACAATGTGTGAAGGCCAGAGGATTTTGTGTGGTTGTAGAGGTCACAGATCAGCTTCACTGACATGGAATGGAAAGCTGTTTCCTCTCTGACTGACCCCACCCAATGGAACAGTGCCATACACAGCTGTAGGTTCCTGTGAGAGGAGAAGGAACGTTCTCAGAATATCTGCTGAACAAACTGAAACCTAGAAGCTCATAGTGAAAACTGAATTCATTTCTCACAATATGAAATTGATCATTGATTTATTCTTGATATTTCTATGAAATAATCACATTGCTTGCTCATGTTTTGAGTAAGAAATGGCTGCCAGTAACAGCCATAATCACTTATGCAACTACACAATCATCATTGCTCTTCTTTCAACATGTTTTAGAGGGAGTTTAAATATTTAAATTGTGCCTGATCACAGCAGACTGTTTCTAACTAAAGTGTATTGTAATAATGCTGTATTGTAAGAATGCAGCTTTTCCACTATCATTTTCCTGTTTTCATTATTATTGTGAGAATGCTGTTAAGCAGGATTTAATCATTTAAACCTTTAAACTTTTTCAAGAGACTGTTTTTCTTTCAAAATTCTTCAGCTTCTCTTTATGTTATATACATTACAGTTTTTCCCATTTACAATGCAAATTAAGGCCTTCCACTTATTTTTATTTTATTTTGAACCCTTCTACCATTGTTCCCATCATCTTTTTTCTGAAAAGCATTAAAATGTTGTTGACTGTGTATAATTTTCAGATTACTTCTTGCGCTCTTCAGGTATTTGTTGCTAATTTTGTACTTTTTCCAGTTTCTCAAGCAACTCCAGCTGTATTAATTCTGCAGATGTTCGGGTGATTCATTTGGACTTTTTTAATGAGAACGCTTTCTGTTTTGTCCTCAGCTGTTCGATTTACAATTACAAATTCCTCTTAAGCTGTTATGATACAATTCTATATCTACCTAAAACCTAACAAATAAAATATTTGTAACACTTTCTCCACCACATATCGATATTTCCCCCAAAGTGTTATCAAATAAAGTATCTGAGGCTCTCCAGGGTTCCTTAACATTATGTGCACAGCCCGGATCCAGATTGCTCCAAGAGAACCCAACTCTTATTGTTGAAAGCATAAGCTTCCCGTCCTGTTAGCCGCTAAGCTAGCCTTTCGTCTGACGCCACTGTGGTGTTACATGTCAGTGCGACCGCAAACGATATCCAACGATTAAGCCTCCAACAAACTCTCATAATGTGACTACGAATTTCCTTCAATACGTCCTCAGTGTAAGGCAAAAAGTAAGCTGCTGTCTCCCGGGATAGCTGCTCCTCAGCAAAGGACTTCTTGAGCCGCCCCGTAGCTACAGCTGTGGCCGGTCTAGCAGCGGCTTGGTGGACCACACCCTCCCCGCTTCCTCATAGTAATGTAGCGGGAGCGCTCAGCTTCACTTTTAATTTCTGGGAATAACATCCACTTCCTCTGTCCAAACTTTCAGAGTGCCGGTTTCACGGCAGGCGAGTTTGAAAGTTGGCGACCGCTGCCTGGCATGGATTTGAGAAACGAGTCACTTCAGAGGATATGCGGAGCTCTGAACTCTCCGGTCCCGGGTTGAACCGCGCACAGGGAGAAGGAGGAGGGCGGACTGACGGACGATGCAGAGGCAGCCGGAGCTTCTGGTACTTTCTAACCCGAGGCTCCATTTAAAAAGGAAGAGATTAAAGGAGGACTAAGGGGGGACGTGTGTGTTATCGGGCCGCAGCCTCCTTGTTGAAGTTCGCACGGGAAACTGGTGAAACGATGGTGCTGGAAGGGAAGGCAAAGCTCCCCGCTGTTCAGAAGAGCTGCGCCATGTGTGGAAGCATCATGAGTGCGGCAGGCGGCTCACACTTGCCGGTAACAAGTTGGACAGGATCTCGGTGCTGTGTCAGGATACTTGTGACGCCAGTGGGCACGAAATGAAACTTTGCTGACAGTGTTCTAAGAGAGTGAAGAAGGGTGTTTTTCGGCAGTTATGGTGAAAAAGACTTTTGTTTAGGAAGTAGCGTTAATTTGGATGCTGACTTGGGGCTCCAGATGACGATATTAAATTGTGTGATCGTTTGAAGTAAAAAAAAAACAACCTGTGAATTGTGTTCCACTAAAAGCTTGGACTACCAGTAGGATATCACTTATTGTTTGTGTTGTCAGGGCATTGTTATGAAATTTCTCCTTCAAAGCCTTTAGCTCCTGACAGGGATTATCTCAGTACCCTCACTGCTAAGACAGACTGTGCTCATTGATCAGTGGTTTGCTGTTTCCATTGTGTGTCATTTTAAACAGAGCTGATAATGTTTATTTGAAGGATTTTAAAGGACTGTTTGGCCAGTTTATTTTTAGTTGGGAAAACACAAAGAGCTGTGGCAGCAATGACATAAACAGGAAAATGCAGTCTGACAGCTCCAAATAAGTTAACCTTTCCAGTAGCACAGTGTGACCTTCCCCCCTGACCGCCCCCTTTATAATGGCTACTTGTGGCTCTGGTAAATCCTACCGAGAGGGATCCAGCAACACTCTGGGGGGCACCATGCAACAGAGGAAGAGGCTCTCTTCCATCTGCGACACCTGTAAAGGAAAGGTGCAGCTGGTGGCTGACCTCCTTCTGCTGTCCAGTGAGACCAGGCCTGTCTTGACATCTGAAGGCGTTCCACTGGCTGACACCTTTGACCAGTGCAGGGACACAGTCATCGCCAGGACCAAAGAGCTCTCTATCCTGACGCATGACATTCAGAGCCAGCTCAACATGGGGCGCTTCATGGAGGTGGGGGACCGGCTCCTGGAGATGGCTGACTTGGTGGTGTCTTTGACTGAGTGCTCAGCCCACGCAGCTTATTTGGCTGCTGTGGAGAGCCCCAGCTCTCAGCCCTCTCTGCCAGGCTTGGTGGACCGCTACAAAGTGACCCGCTGCCGGCACGAAGTGGAACAGAGTTGCAACATCCTCCGAGTTACACCCCTGTCAGAACTCACCCCCCAGCTCCTCCTCGAGCTATCACAGAACATCTCCACCAACCTCAAGACTCTTACAGACATCTCGTCGCTGGCTAGCGAGAGGTCCAGAGACAGATTTGCTAAGGAGCAGTTCAAACTGAGCGTTAAGAGCATGAGCACAAGTGGCACAGCATTACTTGCCTGTGTCAAAGAAGTAAAAACCCAGCCCAGTGAGCTGACTAGGAATCGGTGCGTGCTGTTCAGTGCAGCACTAGTGACAGCGGTCAGTGCACTGGTGGGGTTTGCCACTGAGCCACAGTTCCTGGGAAAGGCTGCAACTGTGTCTGTGGATGGGAAGGGGGTTCAAACTGCAGTTTTAGGGGGGGCCATGAGTGTGGTGTCTGCATGTGTCCTCCTCACTCAGGGCCTGAGAGACGTCGCCCAACACCCTGAGAGCAGCACCAAAATGGCAGACTACAGGGAGCGGCTGCGGAACTCGGCATGCGCTGTGTCGGATGGCTGCACCCTGCTCACTCAGGCTCTCAGAGAGCGCTCTTCTCCAAGGACTTTGCCGCCCATCAACTCTCATTCTGTGAATTAGTTTTAGAAAAGGATGTGATGTCTTTGTCCCTCTGTTGTTTTAGTGACCCCATTTTTCAGGTTTAGGGGTTCCATCCTTGTGTCTGAGGCTCTCTGAAACAACAGCGTCAGGGTTTTGAGTTGCGCTGGAAGTGACTGAAACCCTGTGAGAGCAGAGCCCTCTGAGCCTGATCGAGCATCAGCTGACAGCTCTGTGTCTCCCACAGACAGCAACTTCAGTCCTGAAAAGTTTACCTCATTTTCAGCCCGGTGGAGCTGGTGGCCTCCATCATGGATGTAGCCTGGCTGTGTGAGCTGAGCTGCTAGCTCAGAAGGAAGCAACCGCAGTGGCTCAGTGCTTGTCTGTTTGTTTGTTTTCAGCAAGTGTGAATTCTAAACTGTTAAAAAAGCTGCTGTGAGTGTGTGCCAAGGTTTTACACTATTTACCAGTCTTCACTTTGTATTTTCAAGTGTTTTGACCTTGCATATAATGGAGTATTTATTTCAACTATTAAAACTGTTGTTTCTCATATGCTTGCTGCTTGTTGTTGAGATCTTTGGTTGGGTGTCCACAGTAATGGAAGCACAGCTGCAGATTTTGTGATTACACACTGTCCTGATGAATGGTCAGGAATGGAGATGTTATGCTCACAGCTTGCAGTTACATTTTACCAGACTTTGTAACGTAATAGAGTTGAGTTTAGCTGCAGTGCTGACATACACACCTCACATTTCTCATATTTAAGAAAAGTTTATATGTTTTATACATAAAGCATTTAACATTATAAAAAATAAACTAAGTTGAGTGACACATTGATAACAAGGGGACATGTGGATTTGTTTGAGTTTTTATACTTTCAGAAAGGGAATGCAGAGCAGGGTCAGAAAGTGTTTTGAACATTTATTTTAGTAAAAGTAGCTCTGAAAGTTTTTTAAAGCTCTCTGTGGGCCATTCGGAACCCTGTCCTCTACACCTACCCGGCTATACCCAGTCTACCAGAAATCACATTGTCTGCTGTATTCATCAGGACCAGAGCTGAATGTTTTTGAACAGGGCACATGTAGCCCTGACTCCGGTTTGTTTTTATCACATAAAAGGTAAGTAATTGTGTTATTCACTCTGATGCCCTCAGATGGGAATTGGTGTCGGGTCTGGTGCCAAGGAATTGTTAGATTTGTGTAGAATTGAGACACACTGTAATGCAACGAAGCACTATGTTTCTACAAATGAAATACATCATAATGAGGAATCAGAATTTATTCATACAGGAACACTTTCATAGCAGCTTGTGTGCTTTATGACAGAAATATATAAATAAAAAACAATGAGAAAATTAGAAGATTTCACACACCATGGAAACCTTTTAGGACCAAGATATTAACTTTTTTTCTGAAACTTACTGACGTCGGGACTCATGTTTGTCAGATAATGGCACTGCTGTAGTCTCTTACCTGTTGTTCATGAACTAATCCATCAGTTTACAAGTTTGTCATAACCACAGGATACATTTACAGAGTGCACGTGCCATTGCATATGTTGCACATGCAATAACCAATACATCAGTATGAAAACAGATATTATTTATTTATGGCTTCCAGCATGGTATTAAAACTGTCTTTCAAATCATAGTATCTATATTAAGTTGCGAAACCTCAATCAGAAGAACCCCACACATTATGGATTTATACTTAGAAAAAAAATATTTTATGAATCACGATACCAAACTAATTTCTTGACAGTGGAAATACAATTGTATGTTTTAAACTAGAATATGCTTTCTCACAGCATAAGCTCCCTGTCATGCATGTTTTTGACGTGCCTCTATTTGCTGTGTGGCTGTGTCCAGGTTGTACAGCAACTCACCCACAAACAGGGATGGTCTCCAGCCTCCCGTCTCCACTCTGAACAGAGCGAAGTAGCTACAGAAGATGATTGCATAATATAAGACTGTTAAAAGTAGAACTTGGTCCTGGCTAAAGTCTGTCAGAGGGAGACTGTAAGTCTAGAATCCAGTGGTTTTGTGAGAGGATGTTCATGCTGTTACTGTTTACAGTTGCTGTTATCAATGGTCCTTTTGAGCTGAAGTAAAAGATTTACAGAGAGTTGCCCCCTCATCAGGCTCATCACAGCCAATCAAGAGGTAAAATAAACACAAACTGGACACTGAGTAAAACTTTAAAAATCATAAATGTAGGAAAAAATCATAAATGTAGGAAATATTGAGGAAGAACACAGAGAAAGGGGATCATTTTAAAACAAAGAAAGCATTTTAATTTGGAAATCAAAGCCAAGTAGAAAAAAGGCTGTTAGATTGGATTTAAAAATTAGGCAGTTTTGCAGGGTAACCTTTGAGGACATTACTAAGGGCATACACCAGACCCTCTGTGTGTTCATTTTGACAAGACAACTTGGAAAAAATCTAATTATACAAAGGTCTCCTGATGTACAGAAACAAAGTGATGTTTAGAGGCAAGATGTAGCATTCTGCACCAAGTGCAGATAAGACACAGAAGCTAGCTAACACCAACATCCAACCAAAACCCTAACTGTTGTGTGCACCTCCTCAGAAAATTGATGTTTTGTAATCAACTCTTCAAAATTCCCACAAATAACAGCCATCAGCCCCCCGCTGACAGAATCTGCTTTAAGCTCATCACATTATTGTGTGAAATATTAATGGTCCTTTGTTCCCAGCCCAGAGACTCTGTGTTACCTCAACCCCTGTAGATCTGTAGACTCCAGCCAGGCTTAGCAACCAATAAAAGCTCCTCATAGGCAGGAGCCTTTCCCAGCTGACAACGGGCGAGAGGCGAGGTACGCCCTGGATAGGTCACCAGTTCATCGCAGGGCCACACAGAGACAGTGGAACTCTCTACTCACTCAGTTTATCTGTTTAACTAATTTCAAATCACCACTTACTCTTATAATCCTTTTTCCAAGAAACCGTTTACGAAAAAAAAAGTGTGAGGCACAGATGTGCGTGAGTGACTACATATACCTGTACAGCTGTGTTTACAGAAATCAGTTTAATCTTTATGAAGAATTCTGTTATTTTCAGAACCACCCAAGCTTTCATTTTTATGAGATAGTAAATTGTTATTGAGAATAGGGACTATTTAAAGCTAAGTTACTTACTAAAAAATATAATGCTATAGTTTCTCAAAGGGGCACAGAAAACTGAGCATTTGGAACAAAATAACATAACTCCAAATAAGAACATTGGAAAAAGTGGGGAACCGCAGAGAGGTCCTCCTGCTGAAAGCAAAGACTTTGTCAGAAATGCCATTTCAGTCCAGGGAGAAGCGTTAATTCACTAAATTTGAATTAACCGCACTAATCTGTGAACCCCAAAATATTGTAACTGCAGAAACGCAAACAGTTTTTTAGGGGGGAAAGTATCAAATCCATGCAATAGTTTTTTAACATGACTCCTTGACAGAATGTTCCTAATCTTGGAGATTTTACAAAGGTAAAAGGAGTTCAAAGGATAACTGTAGAACTGTAATTTCTTCATAACAGAAAAAAATGTATGTTATGGATGAGAAATGGAATGTGCAGTGACACATACTGACAAACTACTGACTTTAAAAAAATAATTTATTCATGTTTTACTCTTTCTCTTGGTCTTAGCCTTCCTGTTTTCAGAGAAACCAAAACTGAGAATCTGCAACGGGAAAACCTATAGTCACTGCTATCAGGAACGGCTTCCTTCACATGACAAACTGCTGGAGTTATAATTTTGTGCAAGAAGGTTTCGCCCATTTCCTGCTAGAGGGGGGAAACACTTGCCTATCCTTTTTCCCAAGGGAGCCCATCCCACAGCACAGGAAACACCCATCCTACACACAACCATGCTGACCTGGTCTGGCAGCTGCCTCATGATTTCTTATGTGTACATCTTAAATAACTTCATTTGAAATCATTTAGCTTTTTGTGGAACCAGCAAGTTGATAAAAAAAGTTATATATATATATATATATAGAGAGAGAGAGAGATACAAACTGATGCATTGGATGTTGGGAGTTCACAAAGCCGAATGTAGGAGACTCTGCCTAACTTTGAACACCACATCTTTTATTGAGTTTCAGATGGTCAAAACATCTTTGCACATCTGATTCTGTATGTTTCTGAAAACATAGTACCGCCATTCGATTTGGCACAGTGCATTTACCTTCTCCACATCTGTTAAACCTCTTTACTCCTTTCGAATGGTTATTCTCAAAAATGTTTTTGTTCTTAAAATCAGCCTGTAGCTTAGTTCAGGCTTCTGACACTATGTTTCCCTCACCCAAGGTTAAAAACTTGTGAAAAAATATCTGAAAGAAGAATAGCTGGAACTGGAATTTAAGGGACCAAGACTTAACAACCGCACAAGGTGTTCAATTTAATAATATAAAGAATGGTGAACAAAAGGTCAAACTTCAATGCAATGTAACTCAAATAATATAAAAGTCAACTGAGGTCAACTGAACAGCAACCAAACACAAGCAAAATGGAGATACAGAACCATGGCTGCTGAAGTAGAAGTTGGCTTGCCCTAAACTTCCCACATGAAGGAAGAACATAAATACGACAAAACACAAAACCTAACAAATAAAAGCAAAATAATATTTAACTTAATACAAATAAAAAATATATTTAAAATGACTAAATAACTTCAGTGTTACCTTAACTTAGCTTAAAAAAATAACGCCTCTTCCTCAGTCTTTGGAACAGACCATTGTTCTGAGGCTTCCACCTCAAGCTGGATTATAATTGGGGCACAAGGAAGTAATCCGGATGTGAATACAATGGACAGAAATGCAATAATTTGAATGTGCAGAAAAAGATTAAGGGAACAATAGTGGAACAAAAAAAAGTGACAGACCCTACATTTTATTTGTAAATGGCTGAAATGTAATGGGTCAGCACATTGGCCTCGATGCAAGAGGGTTTGAGTCCTCGGGGGAACCTTTCTGTGTGAGGTTTGCATGTCCCCCCCTCAAGGTCCTCCAGCTTCCTCCCACTGTTCAAAAACATAC